CCCCCATTCCCCCATTATAAGGACTTTCAGCGAGTTAATATTGGGAGCTTTTTTCCTCTCAGGTTGAAGAACTCTTCTCACTGCAGAATAATGGAACCAATGTGGAGACTCGCCTGGTAAATCAGCACCTATTCAAGGCTCTTAAAAGGTCTAATTTTCATATTTTGGACATAAGTCACTTGAGTGAGTTCAGAGCAGATGCCCATCCATCTACAGCTGGAGGAAAAAAGCACGACGATTGTATGCACTGGTGCTTACCAGGAATTACTGATACTTGGAATGACTTGTTTGTAAAGCAGCTAAATAACATCAAGCTTAGAACCTGAAACACATGTTATATTCATCTCCAAAATTTGCCCTCGCTTAGGTTTATTGCTGCAGATGTGTACATCATCACCATAGGGGAATCTGATGTTAAATGGAAGTAGGTTTAGTCGCAATTTTGATACATCAATCAACTAAGACGGTCCATCCCTTCTTGTCCTTGGTATGTCCTGTTTGAGTTCCAATTAGGATTGCTTGCGGGTTCGGGGAAGCTGATTCTCCTTCTGGCTTGTACTCAATCCTACATTGACTCGCGCTTGAAGGCAACCAGTCAAAGGCGCAAGAAATGGGTCACTTTCTATAAATCATAAAACTGTTAGCATATCTTTGTGGCATTGCTGCGCAACTTTTATCCTGAGGACTGGTGCTAGTAACAGGTTTGAGACCGAGTACGGCTGCAGCTTCTATGCAGAAAACGTCATCGCCGCTTCAAGCAAATCATCCGCTGGAGTAACATGTTCCTCAACCTGATCAAGATGTGTGACTTCTATTTTTTTTTTTTGGGTGAACTCGACATATTGTCAAAGTTTGTTGTATGATTTTTGTAATTCATCTCTTATATTTTTGCTGTAATGATTTACTTTCCCTCTCTAGCGAAATGTAAATTGAAAAAAAAAAAGAGGGGGGAAAGTCAAGCAGTGAATGCTAGTTAGTTATGAGTTATGACTTAATAATCTGTCTTCGCAATATGGATTTCTTTCTAGTTATGATTAATCTGTACTCCTGATAGATTAGATGCAATTTAATCACTTGTGTAAACAAGATAAGATGAAATTTCAATGACACCCTCTAGAAAGGCGAAAACACTGTTTTGATGAACAAGGATTTTCTTTATCAGTTGCAAATTTCTGGCCTAAGAAAAACTGTAACGCCTACGAAATAGATGGAAGGATCATATACAGTCGAGAAAAATAAATTGAACAAAATGTTTTTTTTTCTTTCTTTTTTTTTGAATTTCAACATAACTTATGTAGGATATATACTATCTGGCAATGTAGCAATATGCACTGTATGCTTCTGTAGTATTTTGAAATTTATATAGTAAAAAAGCATATATAAAGTATGAATTCATAATATCCATTTTCGGGAGGAAAAAAATATTTATTGCATGTAAGGTAGTTAATGCTTTGTAAGGAAATGATCACATTTAACACGTGTAAAATATGTAGGATATAACAAAATAGAATTACATTAAAAAAAATAAATAGCAAAGTTAGAAAGAAACAAACAGTAAAGTAGAACATATGACCGTGTTTAGAATTGATCCCGTTTTTATTTTTCACATTTTTTAAGAAAGAAAAAATAAAAACGTTTTCAAAACGGCGTTTGACGCAATAAAGACAAAAAACGAAAATGAAAATGATTTTTTGATTTAGTGTAAAATGAGAGAGAAATGAAAAACGACTTTTAATCGTTTTTCATTTTTTGTTTTCGTTTTCTCCTCTCTCGAGCATAGAAAAAGAAACAGAGACATTAATGAATTTTTTATATTAAAAATAATCTCTTAATAAAATTACCAAACACATTTTTAAAAATAATTTCTATATAAGATTAAAAATATTTTTATTTTTATTTTTATATAAAAAATAAAATTATTTTAAAATGAGTTCCAAACATTTCATATATGTTTCTTAAATAGCAGCGAAATAATATATATGTTTCTTAAAAAAGACAAAAAAAGAACAAGTAGAACATTATATATATAGTAGATATAGGCGTGTGTAAATCCTCAAAAAAATGTAGATATTGGCATATGGTCAGTTTGTATTTTCTAAAACGACAATAATAATAATAATAACAAAAACTGAAAGACATATGGTAAATAGTACACTGTCGGTATGTAGTTAACTAGACAGCTATGCCACTTAATTGAAAGGGGAAAACTGTTAATTTCTCAAAAAAGAGAAAAAAAAAAGAAGGAAAAATCTATACCATTAATTATACTAGTATAAATGTTTAAAACATTTCGTAAAACTATTAATGGCATTGTTATCTTTCCAATATGCTTTTATTCCAAAAATATATAAGAGATGAAATGGAAACATTTTTTTTTTTTTTTTTTACAAATTTAAAAGAAATCAATGGATAAACTGAAAAAAAAAATGAAATTAGGAGGAATATTTATGTATAAACAGGTCTAGATATAAGAATTCTCTGATTAAGAAATAAATTAAAAATACAAATATTAAAATAAGCCAACGAATTTAAGTTTACCTGCAGTAAATCACAATTATTGTTATTATTATTATTATTTTAAGGAATGAAGAAAATCACAACCTGATAACAAGTACAATTACAAACCTTTATTTATTTATTTATTTATTTATTTTGCTGAATTACAAACCTTCTTTATAACCATTGCACTTAAAAGAAAACGAGATTTATTTTTCTTTTCTTTCAGTTAAAAGCTCAGTTGACCTCAAGGGTCCACCCCATCTTGTCCTCAACACGCCCTGTTTGAATTCCTATTAGTGTTTCATACAGTTTCTTAGACAGTGTCTCTTTCCCCGTTTTATATTCAACCCTGCAATAACATGGAGATAAATCTGACCAAAATCAATATATATATAAATACATATTCATAATCGACAAAATCTGATACAGATATAACAGTTTAAGACAAAACTCTATTAGTGGAATTTTTCTTTTTCATACCCTAGCGTAAAAATCTCAATATTTATGTACCTTTTATCCTGATAAGTTACACCACCAACAGAATTAACGATCACGGCAGTTCCGGTGCAGAAAACTTCATCAGCTTCAAGCAAATCCTCCACTGGGATCAGACGTTCCTCAACCTGATCATGGAAAACGTTGTAACCGCATGAACCTAATTTTTCATTTTAGTACGTCCCATTTAGCTGCTAGGTGGTACCAGTACTTATATGCGTACATGTACGGTAATTACATTATATGTTTAACACAGCTAGCTACTTTTGTCCTTTTCTCTACTATGATCCAAGTTTTCACCTTGTCACTTTATGATTCATAAAAAAAAAAAGTAATAAATAATAATAATAATAATGGGTTGTTATAAATATTAAGATTAATCTCACAAATGATTTTTGAGGTTTAGCTTCAATCTTATTTTAATTCATGACTTTTCAAACGTTGCACAGTTGGCCCTTAAGATTTTATTCTGTTTTAATTTCGATTTTTCTGTTATTTGACGGAATCTGTAAAAATTATGGACAAAAATTAGAAACATATAAAGTTTAGAGGCTAAAATAATACAAAAAATCAAAAGTTAACTTTTACATATAGACACAAAATTTTAGCTGTTTTTAATTTTAGATTATAATTTACACTTTCTTTTAAATTTTAACCCCTAATTGATGGAAGGATTGAATCTGAAACAAAGTAAAAACTCTAAAGACCATATGTGAGACGTTTAAAAAGTTAAAGACTAAAGCGAGATTGACTGTAAATCTCAGGGACTATTTGTGAAATTAACCCTAAATATTAATTAACACTAATTATCACCTGGTAACCAAAACCAAGAGCAATCTCAATGATGCTCTTACGTGTGACCCCGGGAAGAATTGTACCCTGTATTGCTGGTGTTGAGACAACGTTACCCTGCAACAGATAACTTAAATTACATAAATATTATCTCTTGTATGTTTCGTATAGAGTGAACATATATATATATATATACATGTATATTGGATTTTTAGATGGTAGAGAAACATTTCCAATGATTATTTAAAAAAAAAACAATAATGTTGATCATACCTTCACTATGAAAATGTTACATACAGCAAGCTCTTCTACATATTTTCCATGCGCAGAATCTAAGAATAAGACATCAGAGTACCCTTTGGCTTTTGCTTTAGTTTGTGCTAGGTAAACCTACAAACAAAATTAGACAACAAAAATATGATAACTTAATTCACTGATAACCCATTAAATATAATGATGAGACAATTTTTAATAAAAAACTAATCAACCGGCCTATAAATATAGCCCCAAATCTAAAACTGCTTACTAATAGTATATTGAGAGGAATTTAAGTAATCAATGCTTGGCCACAAATTAAATCAACTATTTCAAGAACTTGATAAGTGACACATTTTTTTTTTTCAGCAGAAAAAAGGGCATGCGGGATGTCGTGCTTACAGGTGAGTAGTTGGTGATAGACTTGACACCTCCAGTTCCTCCAGGCATTGCTCTTTGGAGCTTGTCCTCTACAAACAATTTGAGAGCTGGCCGACCCTACCATTTGCACCACAAATGAAAACAACCAGATATTTATGATTCGTTTAGTACCGAGGATTTAAATCATGATTCTGAAACTATAACTATGATTCATGATTTTAGGTTTAAATTATGATTCTGAAATTATGATTCAGAATCAGGGATTTGAATCACCTTAAATCAAGAGGGGGTGGCTTTAAAATCATGATTTAAGCTGGTTTAAAACATCACATAATCCAAACCAAACACTAATTCTAAATTGTGATTCAGAATCACTGTAAACAAACACTGATTCTGAATTAAGATCCATAATCATGATTCTGAATTAAGATCTAGAATCATGATTCTGGATCTATCTACTAAATGCACCCTTATATATTTTAGAGGAACTAATTAGGCCTAGCTATTCTAGTTGTGAACGATAAAAATAAACTCAATTATCACATTATTTAGATATAAACAGATTATAAATCTATAAAAATATTGAGTCACTACACTTCGAGCCCTTTGAAAGCCTTATATCTACAAAAACTCAACGAGTAGGCACGACCTGTCCAGTACGATTGGCCATGAGTTCAAAGAATAAATCTAAAGTCTAAAGTCCAATTTCTACATAATAAATCTAACGTCTCACTCTTACCTTGTGATAATTACCAACCGGAGAAGCAAATATTAAGAAAGTATATTCTGGTGCCGGAGCCAGTCCTAGAAGAGGTCCACTTCCCATGAGCAGAGGCCTCAGATACAGTGCTCCTTTCCCCGGAGGTGGGACCTATTATATTAATTGTATATGTCTCTTAATTAATTTCAGAAACAGATCCCTTTCATTAAAAAAAAAAAAAAAAAACCTCATTTACTCTGCTAGTTTGAATCACAACTCAAGTTTTTACCATAGTATTTTTTCTCATAAAAATTCAAATTCAATTATTCTGTTACAGTGAATTCACATTTTAATTTAAGTTATTAATTTGAATTAACGAAATGAACGAAATGAACGAGGTTATATAAGATGCATGAGAAGGTAACAAAAGAGTGATACATACGAAACGGTTGTTGGCTATAACTGTTTGTTTTACAGCGTCAACAAATTGCTCAACAGTTGGTGATAACATGCACATTCTTTCTGCTCCCATCTTCATGCGCAGGGCGTTCTGTTCTGGCCTAAATAGCTGTATACGACCATCTTCTCTTCTGTATGCTTTGAGACCTTCGAATAATCCCTGAAACACACGATTACCTTACATATGAGCTCTTTTTCTTGTTAAAAATTTTTCACGAAGAAAAATTCAAAAAAGGAGCAACCGGCATTAGCATATTCTCTTTTAAGAGATCATATTTTCCCAAACATTGACAACAGTGAATGCTCGAAGTTATTCGTAATAAAGTAGGTGTAGCACCAATAGAAAATAAGGTACACGAAGGCCGCTTGAGATGGTTCGAGCATGTCCAACGTAGACTGCTAGAAGCACCAGTTAGTGTTTAGGAGGACATTCTTATACCTAATACTAAGAGAGGGAGGGGAAGACCAAGAATTACGTGGACCGAAGTCGTTAGAAATGACATTCTAGATCTAAACCTTCAGAAAAATTTAATTTCGAACAGAGCCGTGTGAAAAAGTAAAATCCATATAACCGATCCCAATTAAGTTAGGATTGAGGCTTGTTATTGTTGTTGTTGTATTGACAACAGTGAATGCTTTATTGTGCGGTCCTACCTCTCGAGGATGAGCATTTTACTCCAGTCCTATTGAATGTGCTAGTTGTAATGATACATAAGGAGTGTGGTCATGAATACTTTAAATCGAGTATTATGTTGGATTTTCATTTTTAAAACTCTCAAAAGCCCACCTAACACTTGAGCGTTTAACTATAAATGGATGGTGTCTTACATATAATCTTAGTTAACATGCATGCTAATGTATTACCTGTCCATAGTTGAGGACTCCAGCAGATGGGCTCAGCTCGATATTCCCGTAAGGAATAAGCTTTCCATGGGAAAAATCTCCTTCTTCTATTGAGCATTTCATCACGTACATATAATCAGTTGGAACAGCATCAAATCCAAGCTCATCCCAGTTGACATTGGCGTATTGTTCGCCATCTCTGCCATTACACAGCAATTTTTTTTTTTTTTTTTTTTTAGAGACTTTAGGAGATTAACACAAAAAACAGAGTGAAACGCTAGCCAAAAAAAAAAAAAAGAGGTATTTGATCGACAATTATATAGATTAAATTGTCATGATTACCTGTGGGGTGTAGTTTCACCGCTTGTTTGCACAGGAGGAGGAGCCATATCTGCAAAACTAAACTTTTGAAACTGGTAAAGTTGAATATCAATATAAAACAATGTATTCACTAGTTATAATGTGGGCCTAAATTATTATTATTATTTTTTTTGTTTTTTTTGTTTTTTTTCATAAGTGACTCCAAACTTTCAATTATAATGATTTTAAGCTTTATGATGCATTTTATTAAAATCTAAAGTCTATGGTGTACTATGACAAAAACGAATAGTTTAAAGTGAACGTAGTAAAATTGAAGCGACGCAAAATAAATATCTCAGACGTGTGACAAAAAAGAAATATCGCTGGCAAAGGACAATTTTAATTTGCATTCTCGTGAGTGCTAATGAATACATAAAATGACAAACCTACTAGCAGAAAGGAATCAGAAGTTCAGTATATAAAACTGACTACAAAATCAGATATCACAGGAGAACGGTTTGAGGGAAAGGAATCAAATGTTATGCCATGCAACCACCGAAAATGTTGCGATATATATACACCTTTTTCTGCAGTTATTACTGTTGATTTAACCGATTAATTAATTAGTTAATTAGTGATTTTCTGGGTATTAGTTTGATCTGGTTAGCATTTTTCCGATTCCTGCCTAAGCATCCAGCTAACATATCACTGTGTTTTAACCCCTTGTTACATCTTACATGAAGATTGATATAATATTATAATATGTATTCCTGGCATAATAAATTATTACTTTTTGTTATGTTTATATATATACATATATATATATATATATATATTCTCATGGGTCGCTTTTGTGGGACTTTGTGGGACTTTAAACAATCTATGAGGCTAAGGAAGAGAGAGAGAGAGAGAGAGAATAAGAAGAGATTCTAAAAAAAGGAAAAATAATTTATAACGTGAATGATGATTGATATGTAGTATTTTGTACATTAATATATATATATATATATATATATATTATGCCTTTCATGTATTTTTTAAAATGTTAATGTCAAACTCCACTCCATTTATTATTTAACACGTAAATATTACTTTATTATTTTTTATTTAAATAATAATATACATATATCATAAAGTGAATATGTTAAAAAGTAAAAAGAACGAGTGATAAAAAAAATGATGCTAATATTTTTCATTATAAAAGAATAATAAAAATGAACCAAATCCCATTAAAAAAAAAAAAAGTTTAGAGACGAATCACATCAAGCTTTTAACTTGTTTTTACCCTTTTAAAATCAAATGCGAACAATTAAGCACTTTAATCGTTATTGAAAATCGTTAGAATCTTATCTGTCTTTATATAAAGTACATCTTTGTTAACCTTAGATTGCACAAATCGAGGCAAAAACTATTTTAATATGCATTATATACACACACCTATATATGAATGGTTCATTAGCATTAGAATTACTTATTGGAAATCAATTGAGTGTCGTCGCAATTTTTTGATATATATTGGTGTCATGTTGTCATGGATTGCACAAATCGAGACGAAAACTATGATATTAGTAAATCATTATTCGCATAAGAAATTAGATCAAATGCTATCCGACACGTCATTTTACTTTAAAAAGAAAATCACTATAAACCAACATGTCGCTCTTTATAGCTAGATAAATACGACATATCATGATCTAATATCTAAATGACATGTTTTTCCCAAAAAAAAAAAAAAAAAAAAAAAAACAAGAAGAAGAATAAGGGCACATGAATTAGAATTTAGAAGCCACTAGCTGTTTATCCGCGCGTTGCAACAGGTAATAAAAAGTAACAATCAAAGGGATTGTTAACAAATTTAAGTCACAGAAGATAGGTCAAGTGCACAAATGGAGAGAGCGACAATATATTAGCAGCAGTTTTTCAACAAATTGTATAAGATGTATGTGTCAGAATCAATTACAATTATTATTGCCATGTAAAGGAACTGATTAAAACGAAGTACAGTAAATAAAGATATGTGTGCGCATCCAGAGTTGAAGAAGTAATAGAAAAGACGTCGATATGAAGTAATGCTTCAAGTGTGAAGGACGAATGTCGACTAAGGAACTGTCAAGGACAGTGAAGGATTGTCGTAGTAAGAAAATGAGGTAGTAAATGATAGGGAGCGTGAGAAAATATAGACACATAACTAACTAAATAAATAAAGAAATGTGCAGAGAAAACAAAGTGACTTAAAAAAGTAATAATACATGAATATTATGATATTTTTATACAGCAATGATGGCTCAGATACTTAATATTTTCGGCAACTTCGGCAACATATGATGGATAAATAAACTTAAGCCTCATTCACTTCGCAAATTTGAGTTTTCATGAACATTTCTAAGATATTATATCCATCATATAGATTATAGCATGTATGTCACAGAAAATGACCGGTGAAAATAAAATATAAGTTTGTCCAAAGACCACCAAGTGACCTAAGAGAACAAAGGAAAAGCATTGATTTTTTTACGAATAGGAAAGAGTCAAAAAATCAAAAGCAAGTAAAACAGGGAGATCAGACGAAAACAAAGGGAAAAGAAGAAAAGGCAAAAACAGCATAGAAGAGAAGAAAGCCAATGTATGTATAAGTAATCTTTTAGAGAAAGAATTGTGTAAAAAGGGTGGAAGCATTGGAATAGGTGAAGAAAAGGACAAAGACGTAGCTAAGAGGTTTAAGTCAAGAAAGATAGGCAAAGTAAGAATTGAGGCAACAAGAACACATTGAAAGCAGTTTTTGAACAAATTCGATGGAACTCACTCTGTCAGAATGGAATGTCATAATATTTTTTCTTACGGATGCCATAATATTTTTTCTTGGTTGTTGGCCATTGTTTTAGTTCTCATTTCTAACATGTGTTATACCTTGTCAATGAACAATCATGCTTATAGACATAAGAGAATATTCAATTTGATTACGGTATAATGTTGTATTTGTATTTTAAAAGCATGTGGAGAATAGATATTTCTATTTCTTAAATATGAAACGTGAAATATCCATCAAATAAGTGTGAAGGGCAGTAAAGGATGCAATAGTGAAGATATAAAGTAGTAAACGGTAAGGAATCTGAAGAAATATAGATAGATAAATAAGCAAATGAATAAGCAAATAGGCCTAGGGAGAAAAAAAAAGAAGGAAAAAAAAAAGCTAAGAAAGACTAATGAAACATGAATGTAACAATATGAAGTACTAAATGATAGGAAATGTAAAGGCATATAAATAAATAAGCAAACAGATGAATGGACAAATGAATAAATGGAGAAAACAGGAAGAAAAAAATTACAATATGAATATCGCAATGTTTTTATTTGGCAATCATGGTTCAAGTATTTGATATTTTTACTAACGTGTGATGAATAAACCGTTTTGTGGCTGCCTATTATGGGCAACTGCACAAAAACATGAAGATTAGCAAGATATCATATCCATCCCATGAATTATAACTTATTTGCCACGGAAAATGACCAACCGGAATAAAATATGACGTTGTCCAAAGACTACCTGGTGAATCAAAAGAAAAAGGAAAAGGCAGAGATTTTGTTACATGTACAAAACGGGCAGAAAACAAAAACCAAATCAGAGAGGCTGAAAATTTAAGAGGACCTAAAGCTGTTTGCTCGGGAGCAGAAAAAAGGGAGGGAAAAAAGAAATAAAAAAAGGAGGGAAAAAACTAAAACTGTCATTGCACAGCATTATATGCAATGAAATGGAGATTGATCAACAATAGACAACTCTGACTAAATCACTGAGGATTAAAAGATAAAAAAGATATTACAGGGACAAAAAAGTATATATTATATAGATAAATAAATCGCAGCTCAAAAAGTGAAAATACAAATATGAGCGTTAGAAAATAACTTGAAATCACAGAAAAATACGATAGGTAAATAAAAACAGGTACAAAAATGAAAACTCAATATCGGAAAAAGGAAGCTAGTATACGTGTAAACAACTTTTGAAGTTAAATACTAATCCGAAGAAGGCAAAAACATGAGAATAAGCAAAAGAAATAGAAAACAGAGAGTTAGCAACTCTAAGCCAAGAAACGTAGACAAAAGCAGAATCCAAATGAGGAAGATTTATTCACAGCAATCTCTGGACAAACCATATTAAACTCAATGTGTAAAGGTCGATTATGTTCATCACTGCCATGTAAAAAGGGGAAAAAAATAAAACAACGCAAGGTAAAACATATGAAATGAAGATATGTATATAAGCATGTTATTAAGACATAACTAAACTGCAAATCAACACTGGGGCATTAATAAGTGATGGAACATAATAAAAAGAAAAAAGAAAAAGAAAACAGAAAGAATAGACAGATATCAACAATATTTATCAAGAATAAAAAGAATTTTTTACCAGGCCTTTACATCAGTAACAACCATTACTTAAATAATAGAACTATACATCAATAAAAACAATGAAAGGAAAACGGGACATATTAATAATGCTACAGTAAACGGATATATCCAATATCAACAAAAGACATTAAAAAGTTATCAGCAGAAGCTGTTAATAGTACCTGAAGCGCTTCAAATATTGTCTTAACTATGAGATATCAGCCAACCAAAGGGAAAGACAGGTGGTCAACAAAGTAGTAAATGATCGGGAATAGAATGAAGGAGTAAATGATCACAGGCGAAACAAAACTGAACAGAAATAGTCAAAGACACACGGATAAAGGAATAAAGCAATAAATGATCAACAATGCAAACAGTGAATGACCAGAGATGGAACAAAGGAAAAGGAACGCCAAGTGCAAGAGAAAGGGCCACACACATATATGATAAATCAATACAGAGTAGCAGCATTCATACTAGTTACTATGAACAGTGGATGGCCTCTAGTAATGTAACACGTAGTAATACATACTCAGCTTACAAAAATTGGAGGATTAAAATTTCCTAACTAAGCAACAAAACCAATATAGGCCAAGGAGCAATTCAAAAAATAATTGCCTCATAAATAGGAAAAAGCAGAGGCAAGAAAAAAGGGAAAGAAAAAAAAAAGGGGGAAAATTTTTTCCCCTAAAATAACCGGGATTCTAGATAATAGATGCTAAAATTGGCGCAGATTCCAGAAAATGCACAGGGAAAAAAAATAGCAATTCATTTAATATGTATATACCAAAATCACCACAAATCATCAACCCAACAAAGCAAATTACCCATACGCGGCATAAGATCAACCAAGAGAAAGTCCACCGATGCAAATAAAGCGTGTGCACAGATAAATCCATCAAAGAAGAAGATAAAGAACCTGCGAAGAAATTGAAGCAAACAACATGCATTACCAAAAATTAAAAAAAAAACAAACAAAAATCAACCGTGAACAATAAATTGTAGTACATAGAGCATGTAAGGAAGCAATAATTGGACAAAAAAAGCAAGAAACAAAAATATTGAAGCAATAAAAGAAGAAACCCAAAGTAAAAAAGAAAAGAAAAACACTACCGGAAGAAACCCAGAGAAAAAAAGAAAAGAACAGAGAAAAAACAATTGTGAACAAAAAACTATGGTACATAGATCAGCTAAGGAAGAAATAAAGAGAAAAGATTGAGAGCGGAAGAGAGAAAGAACATGAAAAAATGGCAACAGAAAGAAGACCGAAGTAGACAGAGATCGAGAAAGAAAGTGAACCTAAAGCACCGAAATTACCTTAAATTCCAACAGAAAAACAAATCAAAGAGGAAAAAATGGCAAGACTACTGACAATTTTTTGCTGAAAAAATCAAATGGAAAGAAAAGGAAAAAAGAAGATACCTGAAGGACTTGATAGAGTGAGTGGAATACGTAGGCGTAGGCGGTGGTAAACTCCTCTTTCCGGTAGTCGAAGGGAAGCTCGTTAGGTCTAGCTCATAGCTAAGTGGAAATATATCCTTTTTCTAATCCAGTTAAATTGCTCCACCACGGGTTCCCTCGCAGGGGGTAAGCAAGTCTATCTGGGTGTTCCCTCCGGTGAAGATCAAGCTTCCATTTCTTCAAGCTTCTGCGAAGAGAAGCGAGAAAAACCTAGAAGAAGGAGGAGAGGAGAAGAAAAAACAAAAGAGAGGACCGACCACTATTTCTTCAAGGACGACCTTGAACAGTGAATCGCCAGACAAAGGAGGTCGTAGCGGTAAATCGAGGGCAAAGAAGAAACAGTCAATTAAGTCTGCGTGAACAGTGACTCTCTTTTTAGTATATTTATAATAATGTGTAGATATGCAAAACGACATTCGTTTCTCAAATTAAGAGGTGCCTCTATCAGTGAGGGAAAAACGACAGAAAGTTTAAACGTCATGCCATATATAAAACGACATGTTCATTTTGTTAAATTAAGAAGCGGTTTCGTACGTGAGGAAATAAGTCGGTAGTTTGACAAAAGACCAATATTTTTTGACAAAAGAAATAAACCAGAATGTCCTTAAACGACTCTGCGTTTTAACTTACAAAACCACAGTTGATAAAAAAATATGTCGTCTTTTCATAATACGGCCTGGAGTAACATAAAAACGGCATTTTTTTTCCTCAAAATAACCTTGAAAGGAGTCCTATAATTAATTTGATGATTTAGTCGCGTGTCCTTAAAAGGGAACGATGTCATTTTAGCAACGTAAACGACACATCGTTTTTTGGTTAAAAATTTGCATATAAAATAAATGTTTTATTTGATAAAAAGAAACGACATTTTGGTTTGAAAGGGTAGTAAAAATAAAATAAAATAAAAGTCTTGTTATCAATAAAAACGACAGGTAGATTTTAATAAATATAGAAGATATGACATGAATCCGTTAGCTGTCTCCCTTTTTTATTTGCATTCAAACGCAAAGTTACTAGTAATTCACTATCTGAAGCGACAAACTATACATTCGTTTAGATTTTTTTTCTCTTCTTGTTCTCCTTCAAGAATTATAACTTACCTAGTATTTTAATAGAATAATATATATAATAAAACCTGACTTAATAAGAGTATTATTTTTATTTTTTAAAAACGATTTAAAATTCAGTTAATTTTACAAATTACCGAAATCATTATGCAATAAAATCCAAAAAACTTGGACTCTCACCGGGAAAAAGAAAACTCAAGATTATGTGATGAATAAATTCTAGAAGCTAATGATCGGTTCAGTCGCAACAGACATTTGCATTTTCTTAACATTCTTATGCATTCAAATATTTAAAACAATTAATAATCTTAATTGCACACGTCATCAAGTCATTATGACGACCAAATTCTATCCACAGACATAGAAAGAAATGAAACGAAACAAAGAAACAAAAACAACTTAAATAGTAAAGAAACCGAAATGACTTTCAAAAGTTTCTTTTGTTGCATCATGTAGTGCGGTCAATAATTAATTTTATTTAATTCGCCGAAAATCATTCGTTGATACCGCGGCACTCAACTCAACTTCCCAACAAGTTTTCCAAAAAAAAAAATCAAAACAGTTTTAAAACTAATTTTCAAAACTAACTTTGTGTCTAAAAAGTCCAGGCAAGCCTTCTATATATTCAAAATAAAGCCGTCCTCAATTATTTATTCAGATTTACCCCCTTTTTCGGGGCCTTAATTTGCTGGAGCATTGAATTGGTGATCTT